ACTCAAAAAAAAAAAAAAAAAAGGCATTTAAATGATCAGTGAAATGGTCTTTCAGCAGCTTGGGCATCCCAGCTGTAAAGTGGACACGCAGAGGGTAGGTTGAGGGGACTAAGTAGAGTCCTATCTTTAATATGTGTGATGGCTGGGCACGGTGGCTCGTGGCTGTCATCCCAACACTTTGGGAGGCCGACTTGGGAGGATGACTTGAGGCCAGGAGTTTGAGACCAGCCTGGGCAACATAGCAAGACCCTGTCTCAACAAAACTGTTATTTAATTAGCTGGGCACCATGGTGCCTGTGTGTACCTATAATCCCAACTACTCTGGAGGCTGAGGCAGGAGGATCACTTGAGCCCAGGAGTTGGAGGCTGCAGTGAGTTACGATCATGCCGTGACACTCCAGCCTGGGCCACAGAATGAGACCCTGTCTCTAAAACTAATAACAATGAATCAGTAATAATAATTCAATCATGAATAAATCTGTTAAAGCAATCCATCCGACACTTCATAAATGCTCTGTAAATGTTCATAATTATTATTCGTCAACGTTCTCACAGTTGGTCAGGAAGGCAACGCGTCTAAGGAACTTGCTCCATGGTGTCCTGGGGGAGGCCACTTTGAATGGGAGGAAAAGGAATCCCAAGCTGGAGATGCGGAAAGGGGCCTGCCTGGGTTCTGGGAAGCTTGGATTGGGGGGGAACGGGCCCTTACCGTGAGCCCCCGGAAGGCCTTTCTCTCTGTGATCCGGTACAATCCCTCTGCCGTCATTATTTTAATGTGCTTGACCTCGACGTTATACCTGGAACCAGGGAGAGAGAGAGCCACGTGGTCATCGGACCCCAAGTCCGGGCACCCGGACCCTTCCCTGCCAAGCACCCACAGGGAACACGCAATCTTGGCCCCTTCAGAGGAACATGACCACTGGAGCCCCAAGACTGGAGCTGGCCGATGGAACCCCTTCCCTGGAGCCACTGCTCTTCGAAGTCTTAATGTCTCTCTCTCGTGTGCGGGGAATCATCTTCTATGACTCCCAGGTTTGTCGAGACGACAGGGAGACATTAGAAAGAAAGCAGCCGGGCTCGGTGGCTCAGCCTGTCATCCCGCGCCTTTGGGAGGCTGAGG